GACCGAAAAGTAGCCCCAACACTCTTTGCTGTTTTTGAAGGTAATTTCGTCGATCCGGCCGGAGGTCGGGCGGAAGCCCTCGTCGGTGTTCTCGGAGGTGATGCGGACGGCGATGGTATGGCACCTCGGCGGCAGACTCTCGCGGTTGACGAAGTCGATGGGGGTGGTTTCGTAGGGCTGCTCGCCATAAAACTGGCGAACCTCCGGGATCCGGTGGAGCGGCACCCCCATCCCCACGCAGAACAGCGCGGCGGGCAGGTTGACCCCCGAGATCAGCTCCGACACCGGGTGCTCGACCTGAATCCGCGGGTTCAGCTCGAGAAAGTAGAACTGGTGGGTGGTCTTGTCGTACATGTACTCCACCGTCCCCAGGCCTCGGTAGCGCACCGCCTTGGCGAGCAGGATGGCGGCGTGCTCCATCGCCGTGATGACGTCGCGCGGGACGTTGATCACGGGGCCCTCCTCGATCACCTTTTGGTGGCGCCGCTGCACGCTGCAGTCGCGGGTCCGCACGGTGATGCAATTCCCGTAGTCGTCCGCCAGCAATTGCACCTCCAAGTGGCGCACATTGCTCAGCATCCGCATCACGAAGATGTGGCAATCCTTCACCTCCTCCTCGACGGCCAAGAACATGTTCTTGACCTCGGCGATGGAGGTACAGCAGCGGATGCCCTTTCCCCCCCCGCCCTCGGAGGCCTTGATCATCACCGGGAAGCCGATGGCCCGGCAGGCCTTCTCGCAGCTCTCGGGCGTCGTGACGTAGGCCCGGTCGTAGACCTCCGGGTCCAGCTCGTAGTCGCCCGGCGGGAGCTGGATCTCGCTCCCGCTCCACGGCACCGTCGGGACGCCGTTCGATTGGGCGATGATCGTCGAGGCGATTTTGTCGCCCAGGATGAACATCGCCTCCTTGTTCGGGCCGAGAAAGCCGACGCGCTTGGACTTCTCGCAGACGCGGGGGAGCTCGGGGTACTCCGAGGCGTGGCCCCAGCCGGGGTAGATCGCATCGCACGTGTGCTGGAGGGCGGTGTGCATGATGAGGTCCACGTTCGCGTAGTTATTGCGATTCGGCCCCCCCGGGACCGGGACGTGCTGGTCCGCGATCGCGATGAACTCCGCGTTCGCCTTGAGGTCCTCCGGGGTGGCCATCACGACGAACTGGACGGCCTCGGAGTCGCCGATGTGGTCATAAAGCCAGGAGCGAATGGAATCGATCCCCTTCACCGCGCCCAGGCCGTTGGTCGAGATGAAAAGCCGGCGAATCAGCCGGGTCCCGCCTAACGCCTCGAAGAGATGGTCCAGGGAGTCAAAATGGGCACCGGGAAAGCCAACGCACCCCTTCTCCGCACAATGATCCATCAAGGCGATGGCGTCAATAACGGAAGGACAATAAACCTACAAAAAGAAAAGGGAACCCACACGGGTGGTGTCGGACAAGGCGCACAATAGTTCGGGGTGCAACCGTATACCGAACCGCTTAAGGTACAACGACCTTGAGCGTCAATTGGGGTAATGTGATGTCAAAAGAGAGATGTTTACTGGAAGAAGAAAAATGAAAATGTTGGAGGGAAAAGGGCAAATCAAACAGTAGGAATAAAATGATAGGGGGGGGGGGAACTACGCCTTTTCACAAGGGGAATCCTTATTCAGTGTTAAAACGGACAAGCCAACGAGTGAGAATACTCAAATAGGTGACCCCATCGTTAACCTTCTGTTCTTGAGGAGGGATAGAAAGTCATTTTTATGGTCCGTTGGGGTGGTATATTGAAGGTGGCCTTAGGCCATTCAAGCACCAGATCAACACGCATCAACTTCATCGTGGAGTTTATTTCCTCACACACCGCCTCATCACAGCCCAGCACTTTTTCATCTTTCGGGCAATGAAAAAAAAGGGGAGTAATATGCAATGGAGGATCCAGAGGACTCCCCACTGCGGTGTCGCCTGGAATGGGAACTTGCATTTACGCTAAAAAACAAAGTACTGTAGTAATTGCACAACCACAAAATAAATAAATAAAAAGGGCAGAAACCACCGTGAGAATCCATGGTAAAAACCGCTTCAAAAGAACGCAATGGCGGTATTAAAAGAAGGGCAGGGAAAGCCGTCAGAGAACGGAGATCGGCTAAACAGCACCAAGCTTCGCGAACGAGGCAAAAGTAAAACTAGGAGCATGTTGATCCGGCTTCTATTCAAGGCGTTTTCTCACCAGAGTGATGTAAAATTGCGAAGACGACGCGGATGGAGAATGAACAGCTGACTGCGAACCTTCACAGCCCTCCTAAACTCAGGCCCAATGGGTACATATGTCAACAACAAAAAAGATACGGTTCTTTGGTCATTGTTTCCCGTTTACATGCTTTCAAGGCAAATAAAATAGAAAACCCCCTAGATAAAGTACACCCTCGATGAAGTAAAACGAAAATGTAAACACATATGAAGTTATCCTGGCGCAATAATTGTTCATGACTCATCACACCAAATAAAGCTGTCTGAAAATATATGTTTATTCTTATCTAAGTGAATAATTCGAGTAATACAGATGATAGGATTTTCCGACTGTTAATTATTTAGTCCGCTTCACACTTCCCTTTTCCCCACAACATCAAGTGTCATTCCTGTTACCTTCATTCATTACTATTCATACCCCCACACTAACCCACAGAGCCATCCCTTGCTATTTCCTAATATACAATGTTATGTATATTAGGAAACGTGAATCTGAATAGAAATCAGGTCATATTAAAATTAGGGAAAACCTCTTCGAAGGACTTCCCCACTTTGGTGTGCTTCTCGAAGTGTTGCTCCAACTCCAGGCGCCGGACGGTGACGGGGAACCCCTGGAGACAAACCCTACACTGCACGACATTTTTGCTTTGTTCGTGTTTTTCGAGATCCTTGCCGGTGTGCTTTGTACCGGCGCCTTGCTGTTTTTTCATCGCCCGTTCACGCCGCTGATTCGCCCGGCAACCATTCCCGGACGGCATAGTGGAAGGCGTCGTAGGTGGTAATTCGCTCAGTGAGTTTGTAAACGGTAGGGATGCGCCAAAAGTTTTTACTATGCACGTATGATGCTTAATTTTTTTTTTATTGTTAACGTTATAAAGGAGAACTGGGGGAAAAATGGATTTTTTTTTAAGAATGTGTGAAATGTATAAACATCCCTGCTCTAGTGTTGGGTTCCTTTTCTCCTACCCTCCAATCAAGTGCAAGTGTGGGATGGTACTTCTCCCATCCTAAATTGAGAAGCACGGACATCAGAAAATGCAGTCCCTCGCCCGCTCTGGGTGGGGGTTTCTACCCTTTCAGGATAGAAAGCATCGTACAATTCAAGCACGCGCCTAATTCCTGAATGACCGTATGGGAATAACAATAATAGTAATACAATAAATAGCTCCACCCATGCCTGTTCTTCGATCGCCGATACTACTTAGGATTCTCCAGGAAGTCTCCCCCCCCCCCCTCCGTACACAGGTGTTATCTACGAAAGGGAGGGACATTCAGCCAGCAATTACCTGTCTTTCATGAACCCGGCCCCGACCTTCGCGTTAACGCATGCTGGATGATGCAGTGCGCCGCATTTCCCAGCTCGACCCCCGTAGATGCCCGTAAAATAAAGCTCCTACCGCTTCGTAAATATGTGCAAAAATAGTGAAAACAAAGAGGTGAAAAGAAGGCACTAAAACACACCGATATCCTGGCAGCGAGTACCGGGAGGTCCCATGAAGGGCATTAACAGCAGTCCGAAGACGTCTAACAGAGTTCCTATTTTCCCTTGCGACAATCGCTTTAAGCCGTTTTTTTTTCCTTTTTTTTTGTATATGAGTTGTATTTCTAAACTATTTTTATATCTTGAATTTTCTTTTTTTGCCTTCAAATAAATAAACTAAACGTTCAAATCTATATAATTTTCTCCGAAATCGCGTCCAGAGTGTAAATAGCACAGTAGCCTCGTAAAATACGTGTAATATAAAGATTACAATATTGGTATACTAATATTTCTTTCCGAATACAAAACAATTCTAACATATAATAAATAGAGAATTTGTAAGCAATTGCAGCATAAGAGGGTAACCATAAAAAGGAAAGGAAGATGTATGCCCTCTTTGCACCCCAATAAAAATAGCAATAATACCGAACGCCTCGATCTTAAGAAGTCAACCTTTCAACTTTTTTTTTCATATAAATGCGGTGAATGGACTTTACGTTTTCCGATCCACCTATTTTAGCATGTGTCTTTTTCCTAGGTTGGGTTTTTGATGTGCGGATAATTATCCGCAATGGCCTTGACCCACAACACCACGAGCTCCGCCCCCGGGTCCTTCTGCGAGATCTCCTTCCCGGCAAGATAGCGGCTGCGGCCGAGTTTAGCCGGGAGTTGGGCCGTGGCCGCGGCGGCCTCGGCGGCCACCGTCACGGCGACCTCGAAAAGCCCCTCCAACGTCGCGGCCTCGCGCATCGCCGGGCTCGCGCGCAGGGCGTCGAGGACGTCGACCATCGTCCGGTCGCCCCTGCGGGCCCCCCCCACCCTCTGCACCGCCGCCGTCCCCCGCGCGATGGCCGCGCGGACGGCCGCGAGGACGAGGGGCCCTCGGGCCTCGGTTTGGACCCCGGAATCGACTTCTTTCGGGGGATCTGTTTGGGAACCGGAATCAACTTCTTTCGGGGGATCTGTTTGAACGCCGGAATCAACTTCCTTGGGGGGATCTGTTTGAACCCCAGAATCGACCTCTTTCGGGGGATCTGTTTGGGAACCGGAATCAACTTCCTTCGGGGGATCTGTTTGAACCCCAGAATCGATTTCCTTGGGGGGATCTGTTTGCGAACCCGAATCGACTTCCTTCGGGGGGTCTGTTCGG